GGGGTTTACCTAATCAGTTTAGGATTGAATTCATCAAGGAGCTGAAGTTAACCCTTTCCCTCCCTGAAGAAAACATGAGTAGTACTATGATTTAGACCCTGCGCTCTTCTAATTACAGGCTGCTGTGCTGAGAACAGACCCTCTCTGAGAAGGCTGAAGATTTTCCCAGGCTTGTAGGATATGTTTTAATAGGTATAATTCAGTGACCAGAACACATACTCACTAAGAAAACCTGTTCTTTCTTGTCTACCTCAACTGGCCATGATTATGATATGTGTGGTCCAGTGGCTGAAATGGTGATTTTTCAAAAATGCCAGTGTCAAAATTTTGCCTTGACAGTACATCTGTAACTACTAATAATGCTGTTTTGGGCTGACTCAGTTGCTTTGAAATTGCAAGGCTCTGTTATGAGTAAATAAGAGGCAAGCAATTATCTATAAACTAACGTCAAGCACAGAGAGTTTGATGAATTACAAACAAACTCTGCTGACACAGCAGAGCATGGAAACCTGCCCCGCTCTGACTTTCTTTCAGAGTTGGGGGCAATGCCTGCATATTTTACAAACAACACACCCTACTCACTTCCAACATGGGGTGGGAAAGGGGACAGGGAGATGATAAAATCATCCCTCACTAGTACACACTTTGCTTTAAAATTAACTAGGAAGTGTAGGGGCAGCAAAACCAAGCATTAAATACCTAAAAATAATTATGTTCCAGAAAGGATGCATGAGGTAAGGAATGCAGACCCTGCTGTTGACCCAGCCCAGTGTGTGGGGTGGCAATGCATACATTCACCTAAGCAGGAGGGAGATGTTGAATTCTGGAACCAAAGGGTTATGAGCCTCATCAGGAATCTGTCAGGTGGAGGATGAGACAACCGCAGCTTTATTCAGCAACCTTAGAAGGTTATCTTTTCTTATGCAGGATGAAGGTAATGTCTATTTTCCTCTCTACTATGTTTAAAAAACTTCAAACTAATTTTCTGCTAGGCAGAGGATTAAGAGAGCAGCCAAAACATCATTATATGGCATGATCAAGAGAATTATTCTACATAACTAACCTAAGGTTGATGTCCTAATGGCTTCAAGAGGCTGAGGAAGTAGTTGATAGTTTGGGAATGTTCATCTTTGTGGTCCTGTGGCAGTTTTGTCAGCAGAGGATAGAGAACAGGGTTTGCTGCTAGCTGAGTGGTTTGCTAGGTATTTCCACACCAAACATTCACCAGAGAGCAGCTCCTGGCCTATCATACTCCATTTTCCTATATAGGGCATCTCTACAGGTTTGCACATTCTACTTTGCAACATGCTTGTTTTTAAGGATGATTAATGGCAAATTAAGTGTTAAGGTCCAGCCCTTAACACTTGGCCTCCCAGGAGAAGGGGTGATTGCAAACAAATCCAATCAGCCCAGAGACTGAGTGTGCCCACGTGCGGCAGTGGGGCAGGGTGCAGGCCTGGTGTTCTCAGCCAGGCACAAAAGTGCGTCCTCTCATCCCTAGGGAAAGTGCCTCTGGTTTCCCCACAGGCCTGGTGGGAGCTGTAGGGAGCACTGACCCAGGAGCTGGTCTGGAGTCAGCTTGCTCTGGCTTTGAATTCTGACCTCCACTGCTGTTTTCCAAAGACAGGAATCATTTGCCTGGTTAAGATACTTTTAGGTGATCTACATTGAATCCCTCTGTAGACTATTCTCTTTTAATCCTTTTGAATAGGTCAAATGGAGAATCTCACTTTGGTGCTGAAATTAAATGGCTCTCTAAGGATGGCCAACCTCTCTGTTTAACAAAGAATGAACCCCAGTCTGGATGGCTACAGGCAAGCAACTATGCAGAGCTGCAATTCACCAGCATTGTTTTTATGTTTAACTTGTAATTATAGTAATACTTGTTTTTCATTGAGTCTCTGGCATAAAGTTTAAGTAAATGAGCTAAATTTTAAAAAGTGAATCAAGTAAATAATAAGTAAACAACATGCTAGGTTATACACAAAATGAGAGAAATCATGACAAAATTGGAATGAATGGAATTTGGAGACACGGTACTCGTCCAAGACCATATTGGTTGGGCACATGGTTGGATGTGGCAGAAAAGATGGTGGGCAGCCTCAGCAGGGTCTGGAACAATGTGCAAGTGAGCGAAGGCAGGGGTGCAAGCTCAGGCCAATCTTGACTCCTGAGACCTGAATGCAATGTAGCCGAGAAGGTAGGTGCTGGGAGGGTGGCATTGGCAAGGCTGGTAAGGAAAGTCCAGCAGGGGAGGAAGAGGAAATTCCTCAGAGTAGAACCAGGAAGGCCAGCATACCAGGTGAAGAAAAAAAGAAAATATCTGGAGGGGTCCAGGGGAGCTGGGGTAGGGAGGTGCTGCTGGCTGAAGTGAGCTCTTTCAGTGTGGTGGGCAGTACAGAAACTGGGAGCATGGCCTTTGGGATTGCACTGCCTGGGTTCAAGTCTGAGCTCCATCACTTACTAACCATCTACCTTGGAATAAAACTTAACATCACCAAGTATCAGTTTTCTTATCACCTGTCAGATGGAAAATAGAACCCATGTCTTGTAAATCTCGGCAACACTGGCTATTGCCAATGTTAAGGCTTAGCCCCTTAACATTGCCTTTGCACACGTTGTGAGTCATGCAGTGTTGCAGAGTAAGCCCCATCAAAGTCTTTAAACCAGCTCTGCCTGAGGCTGACTGCCCCCTGAGATTACGATCAGGAAACCTGGAGAGGCCAAGTTCAACCATATGTCAGAAAAACAATGAATAGGTATGTCCAAATATTGCATGGCAGCCCCATTTATTAACACATTTCAGAAGTTCCATGAGCCATTTAACATTGTATAAACATTTTGGGTATAGATGCATTTTCAAGAGAGTGGGTAGGTGTCAAAGGACCAGGTGGACCCAATGGGTAGGATTCTGCAACATTTCCTTTCCCCTTTAGAAAGAGAGGTATATTTAGTCCCATTATACAACAGGAACTGGTGATGCTTCTAGAGAAATCTTAGGGCCCTAAATTTAAGTCCTTCACCTCAAATTACTAGTGTACTGTTGGGCAACCCACATTGCCCCTCCTGGTCTCAGCTCCCACATCTGACTGTGTGACTGCCCAGAAAACTCAGGGTGATTTATTTGGTCTGTAAACTAAACCCTTAAAAAGAAAAATTCATGTTAGTCCATTTAAAACCTTACAGGCACAGTGAAATAGACTGTATAACAAGTTAAGGTAACTGCCTTTCTGGCAAGATGTATAAGACATGTTGATTCACCTGGTAGACAGGAGATGCTAGGCCTCAAGGCAAGACAGAAGCAAAACAGACAAGGCAAACTGGCAACTCGGGTGAGAAGTTTAAATCCTCTTAAAGTGCCTAGAAAGTATGTTGTAAGACAAAGCCCTGCAATTCAGCAAGCCTCAGGGAAGGCCTAGAGCTTTCTCGCCTCTACCTGAAAGTATCTGTTACATCAGAAACCCAGGCACAAGAACAGTCAGCGGAGGAAGGAAGCCGAGCCTGAAGAATGGTGACCCCGTTTGGACAGGCCATTCCAAAGGACACACTAGATTTCAGAAGAGGAATGGAAAGAGGATTGCAGTCATGCCCTTAGGCCTATGTTCTCAGGTAAACTAGCTTGATCCTTGGAAGAAATGAGAAAGTGAACAGGGTAAAAATAAAACATCAAAGACAGCAGCTGCTAGCACCATATATGTCCCTTCAGGCAACTGAGTGCTGAGCTGCCAAACCAGTGACAGGGCGGATGAAATAAGCTTTCCAGAATGCACAAGGGCCAGTGCACGACGTACCTGTGCCATAACGAAGGCCAGGCGGTGACTACTGGGGCTTTACGTCATGAGAATGCTTCGGAAAAGCAGGTTAGGAGGAGAGGCTATCAAATGCACATCTATTTTAAACTAACTGAAAATGGCTTACATTTCACAGTAAAAAGGAAACACAGTGAGTGCGTTTTGGAGCCAAAAATCTGAATCACTAAGTGGTTGATACAATTTTATATAATTCAGTTGCTACTAGTATGTGTTCACTAATTGTGTTTTAATTTAGTATCTGATCTACTGCAGCAGCTTATAATATAACCACATTTACACAGGCCGGATGAAGAAGACAATTCTAAGGAGGAGGAAAATAAACTATTCAGAGCAGATGCTCCTTATCAGTGGTGCATAATTCCTAAGGAGGTTTAGTAATAGGGGTGCCAGAAACAATACAGGATTTCCTGTTAAATTTGAATTTCAGATAAACAACAAGTAATTTTTTTCATCTAGGTTCATCCCAGTATTTCACGGCAACCCTATTAATTTCAGAAGACTCATGAACCCCTTGACATTGTATAAAAATTTGGTGTGTATATATATTCTGAAAAGGAGGATGGCTATAACTTTCCACCAGCATCTTAAATCTGTGATCTCCTAATAGTTAAACATCATTAGTGCAAAGAAATAATTCATTCTTACTTTGACCTTTTCCTGTGTCCTGAGCTTCCTGGCAGCCAAAGCTAAAGGGTAACAGCAGCTGGGGAGCAGAGGCCCAAAGTGGAAGGTGAGCTGGCCTTGCCATGGCCGACCTGGCCTGCAGGTGGAGAGCGCTGGGCCACAGCACCTTGCAAACTGACAGAGGAAGTGTGGGAGTTGAGCCTAAGGATGATGTGACTCCCTTAAAGGACTTTAACCTCTTAAATGAACAGGTATGAGTCACAGACTATCCAGTTTTGTGACAACTGGATTGCAGAAGAGCAGTATCAGAGAGGAAGAAATGGATGAGAGGTGACAATGGTCTGGAGTGGGCTGGCAGGGAGTGAAGAGACTGGGAGGAAGAGAGGGTTCACATATTGGAAAAAGGCCTTAGGAATCAAGATTTTCTCCACTCTGGCTTTTATGTCTTTGAAGCCACCACCCTGGGCTGTTGGTGCAGTTTCTTTTCTATGCCCCCAACCTGGGCAGGGAGCCCCTTTCCTGGGCCCCTTGGAGGGTGGCTGTGATGAGTGGGTGCAGTCTTACCTGCATCACTGGAAGTAGACCCGCAGTGCTGCGGCTTCTGCTGCCATTTCCTCCTCTGATCGCCACAAGGCTGGGGAGTCTTCCTCCTCTTTGTCATGTTTCTGGAGCTTTGGAGAAAAAAAATAGAGTGCGTTCATTAATGGGTTCTTGGGATCTCTTTGAACAACTATTGTGTGCTAGCTGATCAGAATTTGCAAACCAGAGGCTGGGAAGTGGGTGTCTTTTAATCGCATTAGTTGCTATTTGAACAAATGTGAATATGGAGTGGTTTCATGTATAAAATCATATTTCCATTGTTTGCAAAAAATAACAATGTTACACTATGCTGTGGCCCATTTGCTGCTTGTAATCGTCTGCTGAGGGTGGGATTGGGGATCACAGACTGAGGGGGTACCCTTCCATGTACCACAATCCCTCCAACTCTCCAATCTCCTGCTTCAGCCATCATCACTCAGCAGACACTGAAGGCATTGAGTTAGCTGTCTGCCCGTGGTCGGACCTCTGAGCCAGCCTGGGGTTTGCATGCCACTCTTTTTGGCTTAGCCTGTCTTATATGAGCTCTGAGCAGTTTTGTTCAGTGAACCAAAATAGCCAAAGCACATTTATGATAATAATACAAGGGCCATGAGTACTGAGTGAGAAAGAAGAGTATATCTATTAAAAGAGGCTTTAAGCAGGCCAACAGTAAAATAATTAAATTAGGAAACATCAAAATATTAGCAATTGGGCTTAGTTAAATCATTTAAAATCCTCTTAGATATTCATATTTCTTTTAAAAATATCTTTTATATGTATCAGATTTACATATAGAGTGAATAAAATTTCAATTCTTTCAAAGAGAGAGGATATTTTCAGAACTCTCCATTAGAAGAGCTCAATTTTCCCCTTAATCGCCTATTGCCATTCAGTTTTATTAACTAAATTTGTTATTCCTGTGTGAGGCTCTATACACCGTAAATGCTGAAAATATACTTCTCCATAGGATGCGCACTATAGTATTTTGTGTTAACTCATTCAAGGAGATTAAGGCAAACGATTTAGTGGCAGCAAAGATGGTTAGTATTTGGGATGTGCAGGGCAGCTGCTTTGGCGTGTATTATTTCAGCATGCATTTCATTTAATCCTTAACAATAACCTGTACACAAGGTGGGCACTGTTGAAGTCCCCAGAAGTTCACTCACCTGTCGGAGATCACCACCCAGCTAGGAAGTGGGAGTTCCAGAGCTGTTCCCAATAATTAATTTTTGCCTTTTATTCCACCCTAGAAGAATTTGAATGCCACTAAAGAGTAGCCAGTTCTACAGATCCTGCTCAACCCCACCCACCAGCTGCATTCACCCAAAAGTCAGGTCCAGCTAAAAGAATCTTGCTAACTCAGCAAAAAGTCTATCAACTAAAATAGTGAAATTTGCTAATTCAGGCCCAAATCACTCTAAATCTAACCCAGAGACCCCCATCTTGGCAGCTTGCAGCAGAGGGAGAAATTGTCCCATAGTTTCAGAGCAAACTTTAATACAGAAAGCAGAACAGTGAGAGAACAATAGCCCAGCTCTCCAGTTTGAGCCTAAATGAGGTTTATTAGCATATAACCAGGCAGGCCACAGATACGTTTATGAGGGCCATGGATCTTCCCTTCAGAATTTGGCTGCCAGAGGCTGGTTTTACATTTTGCCACACAGATTTAATTCTCTTTAGTGGAAGGAAACCACATTAAGAAGTCATTTCCTTCCTTGCAGAGGCAGATATGACACAATTGCTGCAGGCAAGTCAAACTGGATTGCTATTTTTCTACTCAAGAACTAATTTTCATTTTGATACTAGGTTTGGATCCGTTATAAATCCATCTTGTAACAAATGAGTAGGGTGACAAAGAACAATGCAAAGCTCAGAAAGCATGGTCTCCCCACTTCTGGTTCAGCCACTGGGACGCACAGAATCAACCATTAAGTGACCTCATCAACGCAGATCATACCAGATGAATGCAAATAATTTAGAGCCTGTAAACGTTAATGCATTTCTGATTATTAGGCAACCATCTGTTATTGACATATGCCTTACAGATGGCAACGTTGGGCCAATGCTGAGAAGTTGTTTATAGGAAATAGGAAATAAATAAAACAAAAACTAGTCATATTTGCAAAGCTCTGTTGCACATGGTTTTTAAAACTTCTGTTTCCCTCCTAACTGCCCCTCTGCAAGCCTGTGGCTTTTAGAAGAGCCATGCCCAACCCTGGCTGCTCTCAGGAATGGGAAGAACTTTAAAAACTGCTCTGATTTAAGTGGACTGAGGCAGCCCATGTTTGGGGACTGTTTTCAAATTTCTCAAGCAATTCTAAGATGCACTTAACTATTGAGAAGCAGCACACTGAGGAAAAAAAAACAAACCTGTGTGTATGCAGATGAAGCCCATGCACATAAAGAAAGAATGCATCTGTCCTTTAGCCCGTTGTTTGAGACCCTTCCAACAGAACAGAGGCTGTCCTTTGCAAACTCTGCTCCTCACTGCTCTTCTATACACATCCTGTCAAGCAGGTGTTTGGGCCTCACTGCTGCACATCAACACCAGGCTACTGATCTAGTTTAGGAGCCTTTGAATGGGATTTCATTCTCTGCAGGGGTAGGGACCCTGGGAAAGGTCCTGGTAGACAAGTCTTGTGTTGTGGAAGAGCTGTCCAGGCTACTTGAAAATTACACATGCTGTGGGCTGGAGTACAGTTCTGTTCTCCTAAGGCAACTGAAAAACCTGGTGGCTGGAAGCCATTGTCTGGGCTTACCTTAAACACAATGGCTTATTGAACAGTAAAGAGAGAGAGAGAAAAGACACTGTTGGCCTAGGGAAGCTTGAATGAAGGGGTTTTACACCCAATGAATCTTCTAGAGCACCTTCAGCTATCCAGAGGGAAAGACAGGGACTACTTATTAATACACCAGGTATTTATTCAAAGCCCTGCCCTAAAGCACTGAGCCAGACAGACCCCTTAATTGCCCTCATGGGGCACCCAGGTAAGGAGAGTAGACATCAAAGGGAAAGATGCTAAGAGGAGCTACCCTAGTTTGAAAAGGCTTTTGAGAGTCAATTTAGTTTCACAAAGAAACAGAGTATTACCAAGTGTTAGAAGCAACCTAGGTGCCCATCAGTAACTGAATGGATCAAAATACTATGGTACATTTACACAATGGAATTCTATGCAGCAGAAAGAAAGAAGGAGCTCCTACCCTTTGCAACAGCATGGATGAAACTGGAAAGCATTATGCTGAGTGAAATAAGCCAGGTGGTGAAAGACAAGTACCATATGATCTCACCTTTAACAGGAAGCTAAACAATAAAACAAACAAGCAAGCAAAATATAACCAAAGACACTGAAATAGAGAACAGGCTGACAGTGACCAGAGGGGAGAGGGGAGGAAATTTCAGGGGAAAAGGGGAAGAATTTACAGGAACTAGTATAAAGGACACATGGACAACAACTAAGGGGGGTGGAAATGGGAGGGAGGCGAGGAGCGCTGGAGGGATAGGAGTAGAAGACAGAAAACTGTACTTGAACAATTAAAATAAATAAATTTAAAAACAACAAAAAAGAAACAGAGTATTAGAATAGAGAGCGATGGGGGTTGAGGGTTATCTAAAAAGCACCCAGCAAGGACTCTCTAAGAAGATGAGGTTAGGCCTAGATGTTAACAATGAAAAAGGCAAGCTTCTTAAATTCTCTGTGCCTCAGTTTACCTCTCCATAAAAAAGGAGGCAGTAAAGAAAATTGTGACTTGTGACATGCCTGGAGCGTAATAACTAGTTCTTAGTGTTTGCTATGATGTGATGGTGATGGATACACCATCCCCATGACAGTGAACAATGAACAACCCACAGTGGTTGTTTCCAGAGGTAAAAGTGCCTTTACCATCTTCATGGTTCCCCAGTGATCCCTACATTTTGGACCTTTCTGCCCTCTAAGGAGGATTAAAAGCTATGATCAGAATTCAGACCCAAACCAACTAATCTATGTCTGAGAGGAAATTTAGCTCCTGTAGCTCTAAAATGACCTGCAATAACCCGTAACTCTCAGGGTGGTGGTGAGGAGTGAATTAAGTATTATGGTAAAGGTTAAAGTCCTAGAGTGAAACCATGTGGCAAAGGTCGAATGCACTCAAAATTACCATGGGAGCATGGTTGCAGATTGGCAAATAAAAATAAGATGCTCACTTAATATTTTTTTTTAGTGTATCTCATGTAGTATTGAGGACATACGTATACTAAAAAAATATTCATTGTTTATCTGAACTTCAAATTTAACCAGGATTCCTGTATGTTATCTGGCAACTAAGTTTAGGAGACCCCATAGGAAGGTGCCATGGGAAGTTCTCGGCTTGCACTCGGGTTGTTCCCAAACCTGCCTGAGGATCTTGGGAAAGACAGAGGAGACGGTCCAAAGGATGACCAAGCTCAAGGCTACCATTTTGTCTACACCAGGGTGTATTATTTTTTATATAATTTTATTTATTTATTTTAGATTTTATTTATTTATCTTTAGAAGGGAAGGGAAGGAGAGAAATATTAATGTATGGTTGCTACTCATGCGGCACCTGCTAGGAACTGGCCTGCAACCCAGGCATGTGCCCTGACTGGGAATCGAACCTCAATCTTTCAGTTCACAGGCCCATGCTCAATCCACTGAGCTACACCAACCAGGGATAGGGCTGATTATTATTATTAATTGAAATTCAGAGTAAATCCCCAATACTGCTTAAGTTCCACAATTTATTAGTTCTAAGATGTACTGTTTTTCACATTTTAACATCTCTGAAATTTAAGCATGCCCTGAAATCAATGATGTGTCATAATTTAATTGGTGGTGCTTTTCTTTCTCAGTGGTACATAAAATAACAGCACTTCTTCCAGGCGTGGGGGACTCAGTGCCCCATGATCTCCCTCTCTCCTTCCTGCAGTGAAGTCACACAGTTAAACTGTGACAATGCTCAGCACCATGGCCAATAGGATGTGTATTCCTCTCCTTTTTCCTGTGCAACAAAACATTTGAAACTGTTTTCCCTGATACCTGGTTCATGTGCCAAAGTTACAGTTTGCAAAAGCTTAAACTGAAGGCTGTATTCA